ATAAGCCGAAAAGCATCGCGGGAACAATCGTGATGTGATTGAGCCACAACTCACTTCACTCAATTCTAGCATTTTTCCCCTCTACGAAAACTGCTACACGCCGTGGACGAAGATCACTACGATTGTAATAGTTAATACGGGCAGAAGAGATTTAAAGTAGCGATTAATAATGCTTTTTGAATGTAAGCTAATAAAGCCGTATGGAGCAGTTTGCCTTCTGATCTTAGTTAACAATCATCGTTCCATTAAATATATCCCCATCCTCTTTTTTGCCTCTTTATTGAGCAGCCCCCACAAATTCACGCTTGAAAAATCTGTACATTCTCTTTCTGAAAAGCTTCTCACGCCATAAAAAGGGGTCCCACATTTCAGCATCCTCAAACGCGCTCCCGTCTAACTCATCATGCACAAAATCGGAAAAATACCCTGAGATCATGCGATTACCACAAATTCAAATAAAAAGACCAATCAAAGACTTATGAAGTATCTGTAAATGTGATCGAAAAGAAGTGAAATTTATTGCAAACAGTTGACAAGTCAATCTTAGACTGTTATTTTGTAAGATTGGAGTATCGCACATTGGTTTATGATGCATTATTGGATAACTTCATGCAACTTCTTCCAGACGCAAAAAAAACTTTGCAAGAACAAGAGCCTTCGCGCCATCTCATCCGTTTGAAAAAAACTCTCATTTTATAAAAAGTCTCTTTTCTCAAATTGCACTCCACTAGGTGTAGAACTTATTTAAGTAGAGGGTCAAGAGGACAAAGAAGAGTTTAACTGACAATCGTCCTTTCAGGTTTTGCTATCTAGTAGATGCTTGATATGCTGAACCATATTTTCTATTTCGCACTACAAAATCGTACTAATGAATAGGTTAGATTAGAAATGAGAATGTCGCAGTCTTACCTAAAATTGGTCTAGCGATGTTGATTGACGTTATAAACGCAAAATACCTTCCACTCAATTTTATAATCGCCCGCAATGCGAGATATAATTTGGGAAGTTTATAATTTTGGTCGGAATTGAATTACTCCACTAACCCTTTTTAGGGAGATTGGCATTTTTAGTCCCTTCATCGTCTACCATAATTTCACATTACGATTATATCGTGTGAAATGGATGCTATCTGCAGACAGCATTCCAAATAAACCTACCAACTAGATTTATCAAAAGCCAAGATTTTGCGTTGTCACTGAAAAGGTGTCACGGCACCTCTTTTGTGCCTACCTAACTTTTTCTTCGACTGACTTTCAAACTAACAAGATGAAATCTATAAAAAATCGAGAAAGCTATGCTGTAGTGTTACGCTTTTTTTTCTGTAAATGGTGTATAAGTCGTCGCAAGGCTTTTGTTCCGTAATGTTTTGAGTTGGATGAAAACCGCACGAACTTCTTTCATAATCCATGCACTTAGCAGGACCAGGGAGGCGGTCGTACAAGAGCTTTAGAACTG